GGAGAAAAGCGAGTTCTTCTTGTCGGAGATCTCATTCTTGGGGTATATCGTCACGGTCGACGGACTAAAACCGGATCCGAGGAAGGTGGCAGCAGTTCAAGACGCCCCAGCGCCGGTCACACTCACCCAGGTTCGGGCTTTTCTAGGGCTGGCATCCTATTACCGACGCTTCATCAAGGGGTTCGCCGGCATAGCGAAGCCCCTCACGAACCTGCTGAAGAAAGAGGAACAGTTGATCTGGACGCCAAAATGAGAAGCGGCGTTTCAGGCGTTGAAGGAGGCTCTGGTATCTGCTCCTGTGTTGGCGCGCCCCGACCCGACAAGACCGTTCGCACTGTACACAGACTGGCAGGCTTAGGCGATATCAGCGGTGCTGACTCAACACGGCAAGGATGGAAGGGAGCACGTCATTGAGTATGCGTCCAAGACGKTGAGCCAGGCGCAGGCTAATTACGAAGCGTGCAAAGGTGAATGCTTGGCGGTGGTGTGGGGGATGCAGCATTTCCGACCGTATCTATACGGCCAAAAATTCGTGCTGGTTACGGATCATCAGCCGCTGCTGTCTCTGCGCAACAACACGGACTACACGGGGACGCTGGGCAGGTGGGCGGTGCGTCTACAAGACTATGACTTCGACATCTGCCACCGTGCCACGCGGCAGCATGGTAACGCCGATGGATTAACGAGCCTTCTGCCGCCCAACAAGTGTCCCGCCAACGAGCAACTCATTAAGTGGAGGCCAGAAGTCGCGGCGACGAAACCGCACTACGGGGAGCTACACGTGCTGCGTAAGGACGACGCCTGAGTCCGGAATGGAGGTTTCGTCGGAGATGGCCGACGCTATCTCTCTGCCCTCATCCCACTCCCTCGCTCTCTCGTCTAGCCCCAACTCGTCCTCTGAAACACACCTAAGTCCCTGTTTCTTCTGTACCTTGCCTATGATCCCAGACCAAGAAGGGTCACATCCGGGAGGGCCTCGTTTTCTTTTATGGGTACAGTGTAGTCAGTGTCATATGGTCAAATCTCACGGACAATGCGTTAGGTACCGAAGTGAAAAGACGTGGGTCTGTCCCAACTGTAGAACGGACCAAGTCACTACCGAGAGGCGGTATCTGGATGCTAAAATAACCGACGAATTTGCGCCAAATGCCCGCCGGGTAGAAGCCTGGACGAACCTTCTGTTGCTACGGAGACTGTCAGGCGACTCGTTGTCAGAACTTATCAAAGTCGAACGGCGGAGAGTCACGGAGCGGGCGCAGGACTCTCGCTGGCAAGGCCCGACGTTACAAAAACGGAAGGTCGATGACGACGGAGAGTCTAGCTGGTTGACGGTTCCACACCCTCTTGCTAGGTTCGATTGGACACGAGCCGCTCATGAGGAGGACGCGGTCCATTTCGCGGTCAAGTTCACGAAAAAAGCCATCGAAAAGAATGGATGGTACTGGTCGGGAATTCGGGAAGATGTGAAATACATCGTTCAGAATTGCCTGGCCTGCGCGGCGGACAAGGCGCCTGTACAGATGCCTCGGACGATGGTGCCCACTCGTGTAGAGCGCCCCTTTCAGAGGTTTAGCATCGATACGACGGATATCAACGTTCCGAGAGGGTCTGTCGATCAGGGAGAACTCAATGTTCTTTTAGTGGCCGTCGATCATTTTTCAAAATGGATCGAGGCGTACCCTATGACCAGTCGGAATTCGCAGGAAGTAGCCTGGTACGTAAATCGATTTTTGTGCATGCATCTAGACGTAGAAGAGGTACACATGGACAATGGGTCAGAATTTCAAGGCGAAGTAGAACGCCACCTAGTCAGGGCGGACGTTAAGATTATCTACTCGCCGGGGCATTGGCCTCAAGCCAATGGCCTGGTAGAGAATGCCAACCGACTGATTAAGACGGCCCTTAGACGGAATATCACTGCGGGAGACACCTGACCCTGGTCGGTCATTGTTGATCACATTTTGGCCGTTTATCGGGCTACCCCACACGGTAGTACTGGGGTGTCCCCCTTTCAACTGAGGACCAATAGTGTCCCTTGGGTGCAATTGTCCACCTTAGTAGGGACGAAAGTTAGAGCAACACGGGCCCAGAATCGAGACAAGGCCCGCCACTACATGGACTTAATGGCTAGGGCCTATCCCCCGTTAGCTCGCCGTCGACAGCAGGCCGTAGATCGGACACATCAACGACAGATCCGTGACGACGAGAATCGACTCGCGTCAGCGGGACCACTTCCCCGCTGTAAAGTTGGGGACTTGGTGTAGGTACAGAAATCTGCGCGTTCCTCCAAGATCCACCCGCGCTACACAGGCATTTACGAGGTCACGGAAGTTGGCACACAGGGACAGCACTCCGTGAAGCTGATTCCCCGTCACAACTCCCAGGCCCGACCGCTGACACGGCACGCTGCCTCGCTCCGGCCCTTTTAGCCATCGCTAGATCCCCTACGGACCCCCGCTCCTGCAAGATCACCCTCTCCTTCTTCATCCTCCTCCTCTTCCCGATTTGCCTCGTCCATTGGTGCTGAGAGTTTCAGGGAGCAGGATGAACCATCGCCAGCCGGAGCATGAGCCTCTCGAGCACTTCCAGACGCCACTTGCAGATCGCTTGTTGTGGCATCGGTTTAATGAGGAGAGACAGTTGCGGTACGACATCCAACAGGTGGACGTGCCAGCGCCCGGGGTTGCTGATTTGGCAGTGTACTCGTTGCTTTGCGATCGCCTGACATATGCGGGAGTGTACGTGGACGTGACGCAGTTGCCTGGCTGGGAGACGACCCGAGTATTCATTGAGTTCTGTGCGCTCCAGGTGGCACCCAACTTCGTGCACAGCGTCGCCACCTTCATCGGAGACTTGACGGTCCTACTGCAGCAGAATCGGGAGCCGGCGCGCAGCTTTGTGCGCGAATACGTGGTGGAAGCGGCCAGATCAGTGGCCAGAGTGCAAGGACGCGGGGGACACCGATTCACAGCCCACGAAGTGCTGCTGCGTAGGGCAGAGGACGGACCGATTGCGTTGGTGCCGCAGCTCCCCGTGCTTCTCCCTCCCGCTGCTCCTCTCAACCTCCAAGCTATTCCCCCTGTCCCGTACTAAATGCCTCCTTTCTTCTCCTACACCACCCTCCACTAGCAGCTCACGGAGGGCCCTTACCCCATGCGCGAGTTCTCGGAGTATTTGGTGGAGCTAACTGACGTGGAGTCGCTGCGCTTCGCCGACGAAGACGCGTGGGAGTTGCACCGTGCGCTGTACAAGTCGGTGGCGCTGGGGATGTTCCGGTTCTTCGTGGATCACGAAGACCACGCTATCGGGGAGCACTTCGTCGTTTACTACGTCATCGCGCGGCCCAAGCCAGCGGAGAAAGAAGGGACGGTGGCGCTGTACCCCTTCGCCCCGCTCCAGACAATCGATCCAGGATTGTTGGAGCTCATACATCTTGAGCTCCTCTCCATTGCGCAAGTGATCGCAAGCGAGGAGGAGGAGATCCAACCACGATTGCGGACGGCGACGGCCCCGCGGAGAACGTACAATCGGGTCGTCATCCCAGATTACATTGCGAAGCGCGCGGAGAGATTGGAGGACTTCCCGGAGGAAAGGCCGTTGCGTCCTCCCTTGTCGTATCCTCGACCAGCACCACCGAAGGCCCCCAAGAAGACGCCGAAGAGGAAGAGACGCCACCCGTCGCCAGGAGCGCAAGGCAGCAGGATCGGCGGCGGCGAGGAGGTGATTCAGCTCGCGCGGATTCCTGACCCTGTGCCTGGGAGTGCGGCGACGCTCGTTAAGGAGACTATCGTGCCATCGCCGCCCATTCTGCGTGTGCCTGATCTCAATCTTGATGGAGACGGGCCATCAGCAACAGCAGCAGCCGGAGGCGGAAGCCAAATGGGATTTCCGGATCCCATATCCAGACCCCCCCTCCTCGCGGGACCCCTCTGTTCCTGCCAGCCACCCCGGGGTGCCCCGGTCATTGCCATTAGCAGTTCATCCGAGCCGGACGGTCCATCTGATCGAGGTGGACTTCATGGTGGAGCCCGCCACCATTAGGCTCGAGGCCATCGTCGGGGCGCCGCGCCCTGATCCGGCCTGGGAGCCATATCTAACACCCCCTTTTCAAGGGTGTATTGCGGCGCGATTGGCTGGGACGCTCATCTACGAGACCGGGCAACGTCCAAACGCGATGTACCACTTCCTGGTCTTCGCGGCGCAGAAGCGGGAGCGGCGGCCTTACACCGAGACTCATGTGGTGATGACGGGTCCAGGGCCCCGATCGGTGCGCAAGCGGGTAGTGCGAGCGGTAGCCGATCTGGCGCCCCGTGTCCTCTCACATGTGCCGGGGGGCTTTCTTTACCCCTCATTCGTCCAGCATCACTTCCATGAGGGAGATGCGCCGACGACTCCTGCGGCAATGGCCGTTTTTCTTCCACCGATTCCGCCCCCTCTCAATCCCGACATAGATCACTTCCTCTGATAACCCTCGTCTACCTCTCCCTTGTCCTCTCCCTCTCCTTCTCTTCTTTTTCTTCTTCTTTTCCGGATCTAAAAATCGCACGAGGATACACGCTGTATATAAAAAAAAAAAAAAAAAAAAAATATTTTTACTTACCGATCAGGCCAGCTGACGATGAAAGGGCCGCCCGATCGAATGTATACTATGGGAAGAGGCGATGGAGGATGCAGGATGCATCCACGTAGATTAGGAAGATGATCGGGCCAGCTGACGATGAAGAGGCCGCCCGATCATCCATGATATGATGACATCAGCAGTCGGGAGACTGCTAACTTTTCGGAACCCCCTGCGTATCACAAATGTGATAAGCTCAGATCCGTACCGCGCGGCTTGCCGTATCCCTGGGGGAAAATCCCGCGGAAGCCCCGAAGTATGGACGCGGATAGAAAGGGGTTTTTCTTTCTTTTTGCTTTTGTTTTCTTTTTGAAACGGCTTTTTCATTTTGTTTGGTTAATAACTCCTACAGGTAAATAGCGGCCGCGGTATGAAAACCAAGAAACGGGTGCGGTTGGGACTTTTTGAATTTTTGCGCGCGCGCCCAAGCTCCGATTTCTTCGCGCGTCTCGCATCCCTGTTTCTTGCTTTGCATCCTCGCGCCATCTTCCCTTCTTGCTGCGCGCGTTTTCCCCATGCAGGACTCTTCGCCTTCCCCTACGCCCATCTTGATCCTTACCCCGTCTTCCTCCGTGAAGTGATTGGCTGCGTAGCTGGGATGCTTGGATCAATGTGGAAAGCGGGAAACCGCGCACCACTTGGACGAACACCCCAATCATGTAGCCATGCAATCTCGCGGGTCGAACCCTCTAACTCCCCACCTCTCTCTCATGTCCTGCTCATCTACACCCTGCGCTGCCCACACCTCGCGCTGTTAACCCGCCGCCTCCCGCGCTATAAATTTGCGCAACCCTCTCCTCTCCTTCTCTTTGATCTCGGCTGCAATGTTGCGCGAGCTATGCACGAGAGTCCGCGGCGCCAAACAGTCTCGGTGAGCCCAAGGACGGGCGGAGTGACGACGTGGGGTGGACCCCGCGGTAGTCTCGGGGCGAAGCAGTCGGAGGGACCGAGCAGTGGTGAGGGTTGGACGCCGACCGCGACAGGGCCTTGTGGCTATGGTGGTCGGTGGTCTTGGGAAGTTTTGAAGGCTGCGCCTGGGGGCAGCAGTTAATTGAATTTTTTGTGTACAAGAAGGACTCGCTTCTATCTCCATTGCTGCTTTGTCTATGCATGTCGTGTGTGTGAAGCCCCGAGTGATGGGAGCTGGTTATGCGCATGAGTGACGTCGAAGGTCCATGGATGATTAGATGTCCTGTCAAGGGTCGTTGATTGCATGCATGAATGTGTGAATGTACTCGTCCGGGAGGGGATGGGGAAACTGAACTGGGGGACCGTCTGCTTAGGAGTATGAGTGTGTTGATCCGGTTGTTCCCCTCCCCTACGCGGCCTTTTTTGCGCTCTCGCGCGGTCTTGGCGTAACTCTCCCTCTCTCTCCCTTTTCGATCGCCTTCCTTTTGAACTAACAGTCATCGCCTTTTAGAGCCTCTCGTTCCCGTACCGGTGACGTCCACCGCCTGCGTCCGCGCGGACGGTCGACGCCCCGGCCAACGGGAGAAAGCTTAGATTTCGTCACCCCCCCCCCCTATGCACCCACTTTTGAGAGAGAAGCGTTGCGACGATTGTTGTATGGATTCGGTGTTGGTTCGGATGACCGGGAACGCGGGATCTTGCCCATGTTCACCACGTACCTCCGATCGTCTCATTTCGCTACCGACCCTCCCCATCACAGATGATGACAGCGTCTACTGCGATGCGGACGTACGGCGCGCGCTGAGGCGGACAGAGCAAGTGTGTTGGCAAGACCCGCCTCGGGCTTGTGAGATAAGGGGGAACGGGTTTGTGTTGATTGATCGCTTTGATTCCCCGACTCTAATATTGCCTTATACGGGCTTAACGGTGTTGCCCTGGTCGGCCGCTCACGCCGCGTGGCGACCGCAGTTTGATTGTTGATGGTGTCGCCAGGGGGAATCGTGTTCGTGGCGACGGATGGTCCAGGGTTACGAGGGAGCGACACGTTTCCCCGAGCTTTCCCGTAGTGCGGGGGCGCTGCCCGCGCAATTTCGAATTCAGATGCCGGCGAGTCCTCCCGCCGCTTTACCCTCCCGGAAACTTCGCACAGGCTCTATGAGTCCGACGCCGAGGCTTGAAGGTCTCGAACCAACCACCTATCCCCGGAACCCATGACGGCTGGAGTTTTTGCCGTCTGCCGCCATGGCCTCCTCCCCTTGATGGCTATTCCCGTCCCGATGCACGGCGGCAATTCATTTTCACGGAAACCCTTCTGATTTTATCGTTTCAGAGTAATCCGACCCCTGCGGGACTTCGCGACGACAGTTCGACTCCGAGAAAAACCTCGGCCAGCCTCCCGTTCCGTCCGGGAGACTCAACCCTTACAGCCAAAAATCCTCGGCCACGCCCCTCCTAGAACTCTGATCGGCGACCCCGTACGGGAAGCTGCGAGGGGGCGTGAGGTTGCGTATCACAAGTGCGCTTCCAGCCACCAACCACAGAATTGAACCCCATCGGAAAAAATGACAATCGCACTATTATCCTTTCTTTTTTTTTTTTTTTCTCCAAACGCCCCAGCATCACCTGCTGGAAAACGGGTCCAGCGTCCCATATACAGACTGAATTTGGAGCATATCGGAAAAACGATTGTGGGAGGTGGGGACCCGGGAGCATTACGGACGGAAACACCCCGGCCAAAGTGCAGTCCTCTCCTCAACAGGAGCAGTTGGCAATGCCAGGCTCGGGAGATCAACAGAACAACCACTACCGACAGCGACAAGCAACACCCCTTACTATTGGAGGTTGTCATCTCCAGTTTCTGACAGTGTCCTCAGCAGGCTCACGGCCACCATCCACTCCCCTTACCTCTATCATGAACTGGGTCTCTACCGTCTTCGCCCGAATAGAACGCCCGGTCATTATAGCTGCATTTGGCCCACCTTTCAGTCCTGGACCAGATGCAGCGATAAAGACCGGGCACCGTTCTATTTCTTAGCGTCCCCCAGAGTATCTCTAGTTTCTGTCCTCAGTGGGTTGACAGCCACGGTGACCATCCGCTCACCCACCTCTATCATCAACTAGGCCTAGTACTCTGAAGTATTCTAATCTTACTGTAACTGTGTTCTCCATGCAGGTAGCAGACCACTCTCACCCCTTGAGACAGCCTCTAGGGGCAGACCTAGCATCAGAGCCTATCCACACCTCTAGGGGTAGCCTCTTGGTTCCCCAACGATATCCTCCATCAGAGCCTATCCACACCTCTACTCCTACCAAAGGGACCCCTAAGGCATCCCCTATTGCAGGTTCCTACCTACCCCCCCCCCCCCCCCCGGCGTCTTGTCCCCCCCCCCCCCCCCCCAGCGGAGTTCCCGATTGAATTCCACCCGTAGCCCATGCCCCCCGCAAGCAGAGTGCTAAGGTAACCAATTCTACCTGACCAATCTCCCACAATCCTGTCTGCATCGCCGCAATTTTTTAACTTCTTCGTTTATCAGGTATCGAACCCCGCAATCGCCCGGACCCGGACAACCCCATGGACCAAGAACATCAGGCAAACCTCTCATAGACACAACAACCATGGACTAAACCTCTTGGGTGGTGCGCAGGCAGTGTCTGTTATCCTTACCATGTGTCAGCCCAAGGGGCGCCGTGTGTAAATGGCTGTGCAGTATGTAAACCCCCGCCGCTGTCCCTGCGCGTGGGTGTGGAGTTTTGAACCCGCAACCTCAGATCACAATGCGCATTTCCAACCAGTGCCCTCCCTAACCACTATCATTGTCAAGCCGACCAGGCCCAGGCAATTTATAATCATTTGATTTCAGTCATCTACTAGCTCATCTGCCTTCAAACTCAGGTCTGCTAGGTCGAAAACTCAAATTGAATAGTACTGCTAAGGTTTTCAAATGTTTCAGAATCTCTCTTCCACTTTCCATTACCCGTGGGACTGGACCCTATCAAAGGATCGAAGAGAAGGCGCTAACGCGAAGTTCTGAATCTTAATTGGGGAATACGGCCTTGTAAGATTTACTTGGAGAAAAAGAAAAAAAAGAAAAAAAAGAAAGATTTACTTGGAGACTCTGAGCCGTATTGGACAGTTCATGGGTATACCAACTGACCTAAGCCCGTCCGTGAAATTGCTTTAAATTTGCAGATTTCTGAGGCCTCCATTTTTTTGGCTTGGTCAGAATGTTTATCTGGCAGCATGAGTGTACTAAAGAGGGTACTACCGTCTTCGCCCGAATAGAACGCCCGGTCATTATAGCTGTATTTAATAGACTGAAAGATACCCCAAATACAGCTATAATGACCGTACGCTGTATTCGGGAGAAGGAGGTAGTTCACAGTTGGCGTGTGAAGTGGGACTCCAGGGTTTGGAGTTAGTCCCCTGGAACAAGTCCCACTAACAACTGTGCTATTTTTGTCCGGAGGCTCATGGAAAGGGTGGTGCGCCTGGTGGCGGGCCCGTTTCGGAGTTTCCCACCACTGCTGATGCACTGAGAATCTTATATATGCAACAGTGTGACACATGGACTCAACTCAGATTTACAGTTATGGGATGAACCAATGAGCATATACGCCCTTCAGGCCTTACCTTCACCATCATGATGGACACAGGAAAAGTGGGAAGTTGCTGCTTAAAGTTTTTGTTTTCTTTATTTTTTTATAAAGAAAAAGTTGCCGAAGTCGCTGCTTTGGGATCTGGATACTTCCACTCCAGTGGACTCCACTCACAATGGTCACAATTTCAGACAAGAACCTAACGTCTCCTCTTATATAACGCCCCATCATCATGCGAGTCTACAAACAGTGCTTTTTCAGTCCAACGCAGTCACTGACAGTCGTTGTCATGGGTTGTGTTGGGGAGAAGAAGAAAACATCTCTGTCTGTCTGTCTGGGTCTGTCTGTCT